CATTAATCTGTCTTTTACTCAAGTTTTCAATTCTATCACGCATGTGATGCCCAGCAGCCAGCCAGGAAAATAAGTCGAGCACCATGTTTCTCAGGCTGCAGGCCCTGGAGAGTTCATGAGAATCTCTAAATAAAAGAATACATTCTTGTACAGAAGATTATATTTTTTAAAGTATTCTACCATTAAATAAAGAACTAGCTTCTATTTTGCAATTTAAAAAATGTATAATTGAAAGATCTTCATATAGAATGACTTCAGTTTCTTAAGTCAGTGATTTTCACAATGGTTTTGGTCCCCAGATGTATTTTGGAGGCTGTATTCCTGGGTCCCAGCAGGAACCAGATGGCATAATTAAACAGGGAACTGAGAGAACTTACTGAAGGGACTGTTTACAAATGGATGGGCAGGATTTAGGGAGCAACAAGGGATGATAATGCAGCTGGAAACAACTGTTACCAGCCATGATCTGACAGGGCTGAAGCAGGGCAATTACCAGAACCCAGGGAGGGCAGCAGCATGGCAGTGGTACCCATGGGAGCTGTGGCCTTTGGTAGAGGACATAGGTGTCCTGCCACAACCTGGCCTGAGGAAGGTGCACAAACCCATGAAAATATCTGCAGATTTAGGGATATATGTATGAAGGTGCATTTTCCTGCAGATTGGGTCCACAGATTTTATCAGGGGTCTCCAAAATGAATCCCAAATGTTAAGAACTGTGTTTGTAAAAGAAAGAAAGAAAATTCAACCTGTTATGTTCCTGAAGTTGATAGTTTACATCTCTTATGAAGCCTCTACAGGATGCAATGCACTAGATAACATTCTATAGCTGATAAAAATAAGTCAAAAACGTTATTTTGTGTATTTTGGACCACAGATTGAGTTTGTCTAAGCAATGAATAAACTTAACTGTTTACTGTGCTGATGTTTGGGAATGAAACATGGAATAGAAAAGCAAATTATATTGACTAATACATGCATGTTGATCTGAAGGACTTGTTCAGGTGACAACGTTTGCATAAAATTATCCTGAGAAGTAGTCAGCCACTTTTTGTTATTTATTAATTTTTGTAATTTTGTTCATTTTTGTTTTAGCTTTCATTGGGGTGTTTTAGTTTTTTGTTTTTATATATATATTCTTTTGAGATATCATACATATACACATGCACACACACATATTTGTGTATGTGTGTATGTATGAATATATATATACACATACCAAATATATGTGAATATATATATACATACCAAATATATATGTGTATATATATTCATACATATATGCATACACAAATATGTGTGTGCATGTGTATATGTATATATATACATACATAGTAAGATTAAATGAGTTAATGAGTTTTATATATATATATATATATTTTTTTTTTTTTTTTTTTTTTTTTTTTTTTTTTTTTTTGAGACGGAGTTTTGCTCTTGTTGCCCAGGCTGGAGTGCAATGACACGATCTCAGCTCACCGCAACCTCTGCCTCCTGGATTCAGGCAATTCTCCTGCCTCAGCCTCCTAAGTAGCTGGGATTACAGGCACGCGCCACCACGCCCAGCTAGTTTTTTGTATTTTTAGTAGAGACGGGGTTTCACCATGTTGACCAGGATGGTCTCGATCTCTCGACCTCGTGATCTACCCGCCTCGGCCTCCCAAAGTGCTGGGATTACAGGCTTGAGCCACCGTGCCTGGCTAAATGAGTTATATATTAATATATAATGTAAAATGTATAATTATATGCAATTATATGTAATTTTAATATATCACATATGTTATGTCAATTGTAAACTGTTATATACATACGTAAAATCCTTTCAGACTTAACTATGTGCAAGACACTGCAAGTTGCTGGGATATAAAATGAATAAGATACTGTCGCTAACATCGAGGAGTGAGTCAAGTAAAAGAACTTGTTCTTTATATAACTATTTCAGTATAGACAAGGCCTACAAAGTTTTAGAAATTCAGCTGGAAGAGCACCTGCTAGAGTCACAGACTGTCCATTCTCCTAAATTGGTAATTCTTAACTTAGGCTGCATGTCACTAGGGGACATTTTAAAAATAGAGCTTCCTGGCCAGGCACAGTGGCTACGCCTGTAATCCCAGCACTTTGGGAGGCTGAGGTAGGCGGATCACAAGGTCAGGAGGTTGAAACCATCCTGGCTAACAGGGCAAAACCTCATCTCTAATAAAAAATACAAAAAATAAAATAAAATTATCTGGACGCAGCAGCACATGCCCATAGTCTCAGCTACTTAGGAGGCTGAGGCAGGAGAACACTTGAACCTGGGAGGCAGAGGTTGCAGTGAGCTGAAATCATGCCACTGCACTCCAGCATGGGCAACAGAGCAAGACTCAAAATAATAGTAATAATAGAGCTTCCCAGTCTCACTCCTAGAGATTCTTGTTGAGTTGGTCTGAGGTAGAGCTCTGAACAGTGTTTTCAAAAGTCTTTCCTGGTGATCCAGTATGCACCCATGTTGAGAACCTCAGGGCGGTGTCCTGGAGTGAACACACTGACCCCGACCGGGGCTCATCTCCCAACTCCACACCCAGGTCGTCTAAGATCCACACTCATCTCTACACATTGCGGCCTCTTAGAATCAGGACTAGTTGTTTTTCTCCTGATCATTAGTTTGCATTTTTATTTTAGAGATGCTGTAAATTTGTTCTGTTCATGAAGCAACTGCTAGCTGGCCCTAAGCCAATTCAGGGTCCATGTTCTGCTGATGACAGTCTATGGGATCACAGGAGCACTAGCTTCAGGCTTGTACCAGTTGATGCTCCTTCCCTTTGCTTTTCCTTTTCTTGCCCACTTAGTTCTCACTTATATTATCTTGATGTGCTATTATTCAACCTTGTAAGCTGTCTCAGATTCTATTGGGGAAGAAGGAGGAATATATATTTATAAAGAATGAACAAAAGAAAAAAAATGCAAAAAATGCACACAAACATACACAGAAGTGACCAGAAGAGGGTTTTTGCAGGCCAATCTGCTTCCTGAAGGGTGTTTAAAGAGGGCAAGAGTGAATGAGTAGAGAAGCATGTTACAGGTGAGGTAAAAAGCCGGTACCCAGACCTGGAGCATGCATACGTAAGCAGTCGGAAGATACCTGTAGAGGACAAAACTCTGTGACATGCTAAGAGTATAAAGGAAATGTGAGCCTCCCAAATGAAGACAGCCAGAAACATGAGAAAGGATACACTTTCTCAATACAGCATCTGCATGAGAACAAATTCCTGTATTCCTACTAGTTCTCAAGGAAAGAAGGAAGAAGTGATGACTCAAGAAATTGAACCTCCCCAGAGGAGGTGAATCTGGGGCTTGGTTTTGACAGAGGGGAAAACTGTGTGCATATGAGAAAACAAGAGGTTCTAGACGGTGCCACAGATGTATGCTGATGGTACAGAGGACTTTCCTTCCCACAGGACGAGATGTAGTGGGAGGAACAGCCAAGGAGAGCTGTGCTGACCAGGCCTGAATAAGGAAAGCATGAGTCTTGCAAAGACTGTGAGATTATAGTGAGAGTTTACAAGGGAAATGCTATGAAAAGGATTCATTCTTCACTTGACAAGTATTTATTGAATACCTAGTATGTATCTGGTACTGTTTTAGGTGCTTGGGGCAACAGATGCAAATAAAATACCTGCAGTCTTTGTTCTCCAGAACCTTATAGTCTATAGACAGTAGGCATTAATTAAATAGTGACCCCAATCATGACATAGTTGCAAGCTGTGTACTTTGAAGAAGCAGTAGAGGGGGCTGTGGAGAGGGCCTATGGGTGAGCATGGAAGGAATCTGGTTTGAGGATCGGAAAGGCTTTCCACAGGGAGGGAGCTCTGAGATGAGATTTAAACCATGAGCATGAGTTAAGTGAGGGACCTTCAGGGAAAACAGATGGCAAAAGTCTCTGAAATGGGAAGGGGCATTGGCACTAAGAATCCCCACTGTCCCATATAACACCATTGTATAAATCAGGAAAAGGCCCCTCTCAGTGGATGTGGCCCAGGGTAGACTGAGATTCACCCTGCCCGGGTCACAGAGCTGGCTGGACAGGGTGGATCTTATTCCCACTTGTCCCCGCAGCTAAGCAGTCCCATTGGATGGATCTGTAGGCAGTCCTTCCCGTGGGATTGTGCCTTTGTGAATTTGTGCTCTGGGTAAGACTGAAGAACCAAGGCTGATGTGCCTGGAGGGCAGAAACAAGGGGAAGAAGTGGGCAAGGTGAGCCAGGCTACCAAGCTGGGCCCAGTCAGGAATGCCTAAGCTTTACAGAGGGCTTTGGTCTTCAGTCTAAGACTAATGGAAGGCTTCGAAGCAGGAAAATAACCCAATGAAATTTCAAGAATGGAGGCAGGGTGATCAGGGGCAAGGCTTCCTCAGTGATCTGGAGGAGAGATCATGGTGACCTGGACTAGGATGGGTGCCAAAAAGATGAAAGAAAGGGAACAGACTGGGGGAATATTTAGGAGGATAGATTAATAAGACTTAGTGATTGACTGGCTGTGGGAATTAAGGAGAAAGAATCATCATAGGGGTTTCCCAGGTTCCTGGCTTGTGCAACTGATATGCTTACTGAGATAGGAAATACTAGTGAGAAAGACACAGACACAAATACATGCATGTGTGCATCTGTGTACACACACGTACTCGTTCCTAGCAGGAGCTGAGAAGATTAACTGTAGTTATTTCATTCCTCTCCCACCCACAGCCTCTCCTTCTCCCTGTAAAAAAAAGAGAAAAAAAAAAAAAGATTTTCCAGGAGCAGACAGATAAAAGTTCAAACTGAAGGCTTGCAGAACCACTCTGAGGTGGTTTCCACTACTTATCTAAAAAACTATGAAACAAAGTAAAAACCCCACCAGAAAATGACTGCAGTGCTATTCTAGCTTGCTTTTAGCTCTGATCTTTGTATTTGATGGTCAATTATTGGGATACCCTAAAAACAGCACTTAAAGTGTCTTTGGTCCTAAAAAGAAGTTCACAGCCCAGTGTACTTCTTGAGGGATTGTTTATTGGTGACGATAAGCAACTCTTGTTTATTGTCATCACTTAAAAGAGAAAAACCATTCCCCACAAAGAAGCAGGACAATTCAGACTCAGCCAGCCTCGGACCTGTTTTCTTCCATCATGGAATCCTCCCCCAAACCTCCATTCTGTCAACATGTGGCAATGTCTCTGGGAACCAAATAATCTGTACTGTGTTGGAATTAAACTTTATTTGAGCCACAACCATATAAATATATGTACACAACATTACATACTATACAAGTGTGCAAGTCATCCTCCACCCAGCCCCTACCCCGTCATTTCAACTCCCAAGTATGTCAGATTGAGAAGAACCCAAGATGGAATCAGTTCACAGAGAGCCTGTGCAGCCTAGGGGAGCACCACGCCTCCCAGAGGATCAAACAGGTAGGGCAATAGGCCCATCTGGACAAGACCTGCCTCAATCAAGGTCACACAAAAGGATTCCTTTAACATCTTGAACTCAAGTCTTAATTCAATTGCTACGAATTTCTCAGCCTATTTGGTTAATATTGAAATGGAATTAAAAGATACAGCCTCCTCAAGACACATTTCTTTAAAATAAAAAAAATGGCTAGAAGGCAATTTAGTCACTTGTGATTCTGAAGAAAAAAGAAGGCCTTTCTTTGCATTACTGATGGTTTTCAGTTGAAAGGAAAATGGACTCCAGAGATGTTAAATTCCAAAATAAAATCACAGACAGGCGTATGTAAATCTCGAATCTTATTCTGTGGTGCACTGAAATTGTGCAGGGGTAAAAAAGAAGTGTGGCCATATTTTCCTTATGGTAACTTTTCCACATAGACCTATATGACATTGACACTTTTTTTGTAAATACTTTGAATGTGGATGATCAGTTTCTGTCACTCGTCCAGTACATAGAAGTGCCTGACAATGTTCTAACGTGAATTTCTGGATTGGTTTCAGAAACAGAGTGACTGGAAACTGTATCTGCAAATGGCTGATCTATATTGATAGAAACTTAATTAATGCTGCATATGAAAGTCCAAATGGCATAATCCAGGAGTTTTTAAATTTTAATTATTAAACTGATTTAGTTAACTTTTCTGAAATGAAATTTGAATTTAATTTAACGTGAGTATTAAATTCTTCTACAATAAATTCCTTTTTTAAGAGAGAAGGATTTCATAAAGTCTCTCCATTATGAGTTTAGCATGTGGATGAGAACTATATAAAAATGCCACAAATAATACATGACTTTCACATTACAACCTGAGCTACAAATTTGCAGGGGAGGTTTGGGGTGCCCCATTAGGACGTCTAGTCACAAAGTCCAAGCCGCCGTCTGATGAAATTAGAGATTAGGAGCTGAGGCCGTTGCTGGTACTCTACCAGGACATCATGAGGCAAGTTGATCTGATCATAGTCAAGTCTGTCAAGAAGTGTCACACAGACCACAGCAGCTAGAAGAGAAATTAACACAAATGATGAAAGGAATGGGGTCAACTTTTCTGTAGAAGCATTAGCCAAGCATGCCAACATCCACAGCACATGTACTTTGTGTTTTTTGTTTGTTTGTTTGGTAATGTAGACACGACCTACTGAACCTTCTGTTCTCATTGTGGAATCCCACCAAACACTTGATTTAAATAAGTTAACTGAAATTGTTACAGACACTCCTCCTTCCTCTTTTACTCCACAATTGACTAGATGAAGGCTCAGGAAAGCATCATGTTCAAGATGAGAACAAGGAAAAGCTTTGCAATCTGAGACACGCCATCTCCAGCTTTCTATCCTATTTCCAATTCTTAGAGGAGGATCTTCTTGCTGGAGGATATAACTGGAGAACTAACCATTATTTCCAAGGTGACATTTTACTTCTTGGTGGAATGTTTGAGTTTGCCTGCTGCATTGCAGCCCTTGCTGAAGAGAAAAGTAAATACAGAAGAGATACAGAACACTGACCTCAGGAATTACCAATAAAGGTGAGTACTGGCCCTCATGAAATTTGAGAGGAAAAAAACATGATTTGAAATGCTTAAATGTAAGAAGCAGCACCATGAAAGAGCAAATGTATTAGCATTTAATTTCTAAAGAATGAGAATGAAACCTTATGATAGATAAGAAACTAGAGGAAAAAGAACAAAAGTCTTTTTTAAAAAATGAAAACTGTCATTTTTGAAAAGTTGTCATAAGGGCAATGTCTTTCGTTTCATCAGCGAGAAAAATTGACTGCCACATGAATTCTTTATTGTCAGTTTCACATCAAATCTTTGACTTCAAGGAATGTGGTTACCCACATTGAAATCAGTGTTAGCCACTTTGAATTGCTAACAGTGTAATAATCTCCACCTGAATCTGCATAATTTTAAAAAGGATTTCAGTGCATGTGTGATTAGATGTGTCTACATTAACAAACTTTGAAGGCATGAAGAGAGTTGGGCATGAGGGTGATGTTTATCTCTTTGACCTCTCTGCTACTTTAGACTTCTTTGTGAGATCTAGATTTAGGAAGAAGTAGTATACTGTAATTATAATTGTACATGCTATCTTTATTTTTAAATGACAAATAGTAATTGCATATAATTATGAGGTACAATGTGATGTTTTGATACATGTATACATTATAAAATGATTAAGCTAATTCACACATCTATCATCTCATATACTTGCATTTTTGTGGTAAAAACAATTAAAATCTCTTTTAGAGATTTTTCAGTATAATGACCAACTGTAATCACTATACTATGCAATAGATCGCTCAAACTTAATCCTTCTTGTAACTGATACTTTGCACCCTTTGACCAGTTTCTCTTCATTCCCTATCCTGCGCCCCTATCCTCTGTTAACCACCATTCTCCTCTGCTTCTATGAGTCTGATTTTTCTAGATTCCACATATAAGTAAAATCATACTGCATTTGTCTATCTGTGCCTGGCTTATTTCACTTAATAGCCTCCAAATTCATCCATCTTGTTGCAAATGAGAGAATTTCCTTCTTTTTCTAGACAAAATAGTATTCCATTGTGTATACATACCACATTTTAAAAATCTGTTCATCTGTTGATGGACACTTGGGTTGATTCCATATCTTGGCTATTGAGAATAATAATAAACATGGGAGTGCAGATGTCTGTTTACAGCACCCTGATACCAATTCCTTCAGATACGTACTCCGAGCTGGGATTGCTAGGTCATATGGTAATCCTATGTTTAGTTTTTTGAAGAACCACCATACTGTTTTCATGATTGATGTACTAATGTACATTCCCATCAACAACATTCAAGGGTTCTCTTTCCTCCACATCCTGCCAGCACTTTTTATCTTTTGTCTTTTTTGATTATGGCCATTTTAGCAGGTATGAAGTGATACTTTACCATGGTTTTAATTCACATTTTCCTGATGGCTAGTGAGGTTGAGCATTTTTTTAGATATATCTGTTGGCCTTTTGTATGTCATCATTTAGAAACTATTCCGATCCTTTGCCCATTTCTTAATTTGTTTTCTTGCTATTGAGTTGTTTGAGTTCCTTGTGTATTCTGTATATCATCTTTTATCAGATGTATCAATTTAGAAATATTTTCTCTATGTATTTCTCCACATTTCACCAATCCATGTATCTTTTTTGTTTGACTTAGTTATTGCTACATGCCAGGCATTTATGATATCACTTAATCCTTTATAGCTATGCCTTGAGCTAGGTATTATTTTTGTCCTCTTTTGACTGATTATTAAATGAGGGCTTAGAAAGGTCAACCAAATGGCCGAGTATTACACAGATAGTCATAACCAATCAACTCCCAGCTTCCTAAACTAGTAAGAGTTCTCCACCTTCCACCATTCCTCCCCTGAGTTAGCACATGGTGAACCCCTAGGCCAACATGCCCTGACCCATCGGTCAGACTGACCCTCTTGTTCAGTGATGTGAAAAGCAATGAAAATATTCAACTTGAGCTGAGTCAAATATTTCATCACCTAGGACCCTATTTATTCAAAACTCAGTCAGTTGTAAAGCAACTTGGATATACAGGTAAACAGGCAAATGGAAGAGCTAGAAACTTCCCACAACTTTTCAAGTTAATGATCAGCAAGTCCGTGAAGCCTGACATGGGCTGGCAGTAGCACAGAAAAGTTGAAAGTCCTTCTCTAATCCTCCACTTTGGCAAAAGGATAAAAGAAAACCAGTGCTCTATACTTTTTACAGACTGGGAACCGACTTTACTAAATGTCTTTTCTGTATTTCAAGGGGAATGCCAAAGATAGAAAAGAACAGGTCATAGCAGTCTCAGTGGTGTTTTCTTGACCCGGGAGAATCCACTAACAAGCAGCATATAATAATCTTGTCACCTAAAATTACTATTTCCATGAGCAATTAAAAGGGACTAATTACCCAAAACAATTTGCTGAAATTAAGCCTGACAGCTTTGCTAGTTAATCCTCAGATTAGGCAGGGAGGGTGGCTGCTGGGGAGGAAGAGATACTTAGTGACCTGGCTGTTACCAAGGAGATTGTCAGTGAACTGACCTGGGGTTAGAAAGTTCTGGGAACACACAGACCTGAACATGGAGCCTCATGCACCCTGAGCTGAACTAGAACTGCCCAGTGATTCTCAGCCCTTTGAGATCATTTATGGCCCCTTTCAAAATCTGATGAAAGTCTTAATTAGAACCTCTTTTCACACACAAAAACACACTTAAGCCTATACACATAAAATATTTGTGTATAATTTCAGGGGTCCCACAGCCCCTGAAAATTCACTCATGAACCCTTAAAATTCCTTGCACTCCTACAGGCCACCAGTTCAACCCCACCTCTCTGATTCAGAATGAACTTCCAACAAGTTTTTCCCATGAACGATGGGTAAAGATAGCAAGGCTGGGCACATGTGCACAGCAGAAGCCGAACAGGGCTGGTCTTTGGAAAATGGCAAAGCAGCAAAGATTAGCTTTGGAGTTCCCAGCCTGGCCTTTCTTCCACTTCTTTCTGGTTATGTTCATACCCTCCACCATTGCCCTTCAAGGCTTTGAGTTTATTAAGCAAACACCACCTTTGCTCCCTTTATGCCTGGCATGTAAAGGACAGGAAATGTTTTTAAATCAACAACCCAGAGCTTTTGCACTCTCTGTATCTCTGCTGAAACATTAATCTCAGGCTGCTGGCTGCTTATTAAAAACAAGGTGGGGAAAATTTATATTCAAAGGGGCTGGTCAATGGTAAGAGACATAGAAACAATTTGTTCTTCTAGGTTGGTGTTTCTCAAAATGTGTTCTACTGGCCTCTTGCATCAGAATCAGAGATATTTAGGTTTTATTCCAGATATACCAAATCAGAATTGGGGATGGGGTTTGGGAAAGAGCAGTGAATCTACACGAAAAAAAAAAAAATTCTTCCCAGTTAAATTATTTGTATATTAATGTTTGAAAATGACAGCTTTAATGACTTTATCTCTGAATCATCATTACCACAAATTTACATGTCTGTACCCCAGTTCTTTGGGTGTCCAAACAGTGCTGAATTAGAGCCAATTCATTATACCTATGAAGAATTTTTCCATATCTTTCATAAAGATGCTATTACAGACACTGCCCATTACAATATAGCTGATAATTTCACTTAAGTTTAACATTTGTATCAAGAGTTTGTAACAAACCTCAGATGTTTCGTTTATTAGCCAATGGTGGCTGTATAATGCACAATGTCTTCATTTACAGCTTGGCCTCCAGGAAACTCAGAGTTCAATCTAGGTGTTTAAATTAAGTATTGTACTCCTGGGTGGCCTCTTCAATGCTGAGACCTTCTGGCCAGGCACAATGGCTCATGCCTATAATTCCAGCACTTTGGGAGACTGAGGCATGAGAATTGTTTGAGCCCTGGGAGTTTAAGACCAGCCTGAGCAACAAAGTGAGACCTCAACTTTGAAACACACGCACACACACACACACACACACACACACACACACATTTACTGGTTGTATGAACCTGTGGTCCCAGCTACTCTGGAGGCTGAGGTGGGGAGATGGCTTAAGCCCAGGAGGTGGAGGCTGCAGTGAGCTGTGGTCATACCACTGTGCTCCAATCTGCGTTACAGAGAAAGACCTTGCATTAAAAAAAATAAAAAAATAAAAAAAAGGAAAGAAAGAAAAGGAGGCCTTCCTATCTACTTCCTTAAATAAATGCCTCCTATTTTTTTAAATCTCTGTTTAAATTATGTTATTATGTATTCTTCTTTCATTGAAAGCTGCTGCAAATGCTTTTTCAAATAGAGGCAAGTACAGGTCATCTTTCAATGGATAAATATATTTGGATAAATATATTACTTTTTTGCACCTTATGGAATAGTGGAGAGAGTAGTGGTGAGCAGACAGGAGATCTCTATTCTAGTTCATCTCTGTTTTAGTCTATCTGTGTTTCCTCAGGCAGGTCAATTATACTCTCGAGACATCATTTCATCCTCTGAGCAAAG